CACCTATTGTTAACAGGGGGTGGAGTGATACTGGCAATAGCCGCGCTGTAGGAGGGGGACAATTGAAATCCTGGTTCTCACTTTTAGAGCTCTACACGGCCAAACGCCAAACTACATCTCCGGTCTTCTCTCGCTTTATAACCCCAGACGCAACTTGCGCTCACAAGACCAGAATCTCTTTTTGGTCCACCGTACTCGCTTCAAGACCCGTGGTGACTGTGCCTTTTCCTCAGTGACTCCTAGACTGTGGAACGCCCTTCTGCCTTATCTAAGATCTCTTAATAACACTGACTCCTTTAAAAAAAACAACTAAAATCACACCTTTTCACTCAAGCATTCAACTGAATATATTCAACACCTCACAACTTGAGTTCATAAGCCCTGTGTTATTCTGGTCTAGTATCCATCCCCTCCACCTATAAGGGTGAGAGATAAATTGAACTCCTTTTTGTTTTTGTTTCAAATATTGAATGTATTGAGTGTATAATTTGTACAGTTATTGTGAAATATTTGCTTTTTCTTTCTGATAATGGATGTACAGCATCTTGTGATATCCTTTTCTGTGAAAGGCACTATATAAATAAACTTTTACTTACCTACTTACTTACTTACTTAATTAATTACTTACTTACTTACTTACTATCATGGACCTAGAATCATAAAATTTGGAACACATGTGTAATGTCTCTGGACCTAAAAAAAAGTCTCTTGGAGTCGTGGTCCAGTCCCAATGGAAGACAGCCATTTTGGATCAAAGCTGCCAATTTGATCCAAAAATTGGTAGCTTTGATGATAAGGATGTGGTGGAGTGGTTAGGGGAGTCGTCCTGGAACCGGAAGGTTGCCGGTTCGATCCCCCATCCAGCCGCTTCAGTCGTTGTGTCCTTGGGCAAGACACTTCGCCTGCCTTGTCTACTGATGATGGCGTCGGTGCATGGCAGCCCCGCCTCTGTCAGTGTGCTCCAGGGCAGCTGTGGCTGCAGCTTACTGCCATCAGTTTGGACATGCAGACTTCACATGCTGCATGCTTCTCTCAGCACTGACCGGTGGCGGGATGGTGTGGGTGTGGCAGAGTGGCAAAAGCTGATGTCTCGCCGTTTGCACACGGTTAGCTCTAAATCACACATACATGGTCCGATCTGCACCAGATTTTATGTGCGTCATCAGGCCTGTTCAACACAATGGTGTAGTAGTTTGACAAGATCACTTTAGCCCCGCCCCCTTTGCACACTGTTGGCTCTAAATGACACATGCTCAATCTGATCCGAACCAAATTGTGTGTTCATCATAAGGGAGACCTGCTCAAAACATTTATTTAGTAGTTTGACAAGATCAGTTTAGCTCCCTGTCCATCAGTCCGTCTGTCTGTTCACCTTATGAGATCATTCAAATAACGAAGACCTGTGACGATTCCAACAAAACTACTAACAGTTGGTTCCTACTGAATGGCGATGGGGGATATCAGCAATGGTTGGGGTCAAGTTATTTCTTGTTTGTGTCTTAAAATGCCCTTCTTGTTCCCAGCACTATGTTTTATTGTATTTCTTAGGTCTAGAGAAAAACAAACTTTAAAAACATTATGAGGTATTCTTCTCATCCCAGTGTGTTTTATGCCCTCTTGGACTCATCTCACTTCTAAGATCTGCAGATCTTCAGGATTTGAACCAGGATGAGTCAGGGTGGTGGGTGGAAAGGAGGATCATTAGAGACTGACAGTTAATGTATATGAGACTAGATAAAGGATAGCCTCCCATCTGCCCTAAGAACTTTCTACTGTTCTGTCTGTTGAGCTGATAACAAGAAAACTGTTTATTTTTTTATTTCTTCATCAAGTACGTCCTAAAGCATCAGATTTTTTTATATTTTTCCCCCTCCACAGAACCATCTGGGAAGTTTTGCACAAAAAAAGAAAAACATTTGGAAAACGGCAGGAGCTTTCACATCTCAGCGGGTGTTTGGATGAAGCTTCTCTACTCGACTTGAAAACAAACAGAACCAAGCAGTGAATTTGAGCCACCATTGCAGATCAATCGTCACACCTCAAAACCTGTGAAAAGCTACCTGGGCAACATTTTGTTTTGCGGCAGACTTTGTTGCTCTACTAGATGAGTTTTCTGTGTGTGTGTTCTTGTAAACAGCCTGAGCGCTCAACTGCCCGACAGAGCAGCTTTAAATGTAGGCATGAAGAGGATAATGCTACAAAAAAAAGCTGCTGTAGCGGTGCTAACATTAAAAAGCTAACATAAAGAGCTATTATAAAAGAGCTGAAGAAATGGATGTTGTACGCAGCAAAATTTTGTACAGAAGTAGCAAAATGCTATCTAAAAGCTAACATCAAAGGCAGCAGAGCAGTAGTTAAAAGTAGCAAAGGGGTAGCTGAAGTATCAAAAGATAAAGCTAAAAGTGGCAGAGCAATACAAGTGCCAAGAACAATAAAAGTAGCAAAAAGTTAGCTTGGAACAAATAGTATCGAAAGGGTTGCTAAAATATTAATATAACAGAATGATAGCTAAAAGTAGCAAAAGGTTAATAAAATGTTAAATGCATTAAAAGTTAAAAACAAAACATTGCAGAATGAAAGGTAGCAAAAGCCTAGCTTGGAGCTAATTGAGGCAAAAGTATAGTGAGAAGTAGCAAAAACTTAGTTGAAAGATAAAAGTAGCAAAAGAGCAATGTTTTTGAAGAAATAGATAAATCTCAATGTATTAGGAAATATCTATAAAGTAAAATACTTTAAAAGCACGAAAGTTACAAAAAGCTAAAGTCACAGCATCCATTTCCTGATTGAGCCGAATGTTTTCCATTCAATTGAAAGCGTTTTGAAGTACAGGTTTTGAAATACTGTATATGTACAAAAATAAACAAAACCAAAGGTTTCCTTGTGTTCGTGTTGTGCCACGCTGGATGGGATAATTTGTCTCAGACTGATTGGCTGCTTCTCTTTATTTCTCCTAAAGGTGAGCAGAAACACATCAGAAGTGAGTAATCTCCGAGTGAGAAGATGATTTGTTTCTGATGAAACCAAGAAAGGACTCATGTGAGCAACAGAATCTTTCTCCAGAGGCTGAAGTGTCAGAGTTGATCTGTGGTTGAAAACTGCAATTATTTTGCCCCAAAGCATAAAAAATATTCACTTCAAGTGAAAAATAGCCTCCGTATTGAAATTTCCTCCTTTCTGTTTGTTTTTGCTTTTTTTTTTTTACTTTATGAGCCGTGGTCCATCCATGTCTTCTGACAGCGCAGGGTTTCACACTGAGAGCAACATGCTGAGCCTCATCACGACATGTGGTGGTGTTGGTGTACACCGCCGCTGCTTAAATCAGATCTTAACAAGCCCCTCTGCTCCTCACTCAGCTTCTTTTTTGGTTCTCTTCGCCCCCACCACTGCCCTTCAATTCATTTACCTTTTATTTAATCAAGTAGTCAGATCTGAAAACAGTTTTTAGAGGCCGAAGAGAGAAAAGAAAAAAGCATCTTTTCTTGCACACGTCAGTTAGTAATAGAAAATCACAAAATATTCTAAATATTCAAAAACAAAAGAGAGTAAGACAGAAAATAAAACATCTGGGCTTTTCTTGGTAGTAATTTGTCAATTCATTGCATTCAATGAGTTCATTTTTTTACTTTCTAGTTTTAATTGTTTTAAGAAGTTTATTTTTAAAACTTTTAAAAGAAACACTAATTAAAAATGATTTTGTGTGTTTCCTGGAAAACATTAATTTTAAATAAACAAAACAGGGATTTACTAAAAGCTGAGGATTTTTTTCTGATTCCAGGTTTCTGAATAGCTGGCTACTTTCTAGGTTTTATTTGTTTGAATGATGAGTAAATAAATACAAAAAATGTGTCTGTAGCTCTGAAACAAAATTTTTTTGTGCTTAAAGTTTAAGAGAAATAACCTCCAGTGTTTTATTTCTCACTTAATAAGACTGACCCACAAAATCTGAAGTTTCACAAACTGCTTCTGGTTTCTGGTTCTCCTAAAAGTACAAAGTTGTACAAAGAGTTTTCTTTTATCTAAACCTGTGGTGCCCAATCCTGGTCCTGGAGGACCGCTATCCTGCATGTTTTGGATGTTTCCCTCTCTTCAGTGGGTCTTCAAGTTCTGCAGAATCCTGTTAATCACTCATGCATTCAAATCAGGTGAGTCAAAGCAGAGAAACTTCAAAAACACGCAGGATGGTGGCCCTCAAGGAGCAGTACTGGGCACCCTTGATTTGATGTTGTTAAAAACACAAACACATAGGGTCTTTTTTCACTGCAAGACCTGGATTTTCCGTGTTTGCATTGGCCCTTATGACCCATTTCCAGCCAGATTTCTGGAACCCTGAGACCTGTGGTTCATGTCAGCTATTGTTGCTCGACTGGTTTGCTGACCAGGGGGTCATGTCACATGAGCCTCTTTCATAAGACAGTTCCGCAAAATCACTGCACAGACCTCAGGTCATTCATAAAATCACACAAGAAGCCGACCAGGTCCCGCTCACATGTACGTGTTCAGAAATAAACCCAGCAGTACAGAACCAGAAGAGACAGAGATCTCAGCTCAGCTGATGTGGACCGCAACGTACAGTGGTTTGCAAAAGTATTCATACCCCTTGAACTTTTCCATATTTTGTCACATTACAACCACAAACATAAATATATTTCACTGGAATTTAATG